TAGCAGATGATGAGTGTAGGTGAGTGAGTAGATGATGGGTAGCAGGTGGTGAGTGGCAGATGATGAGTGTAGTGCAGGTGGTGAGTAAGATGATGGGTGGCAGGTGGTGAGTGTAAGTAGATGATGAGTGTAGAGTGCAGGTGATGAGTGTAGCAGGTGGTGAGTGTAGCAGATGATGAGTAGCAGGTGAGTGTAGCAGGTGAGTGTAGCAGGTGGTGGGTGGCAGGTGAGGTAGCAGGTGGTGATGCAGTGAGGTGAGTGTAGCAGATGAGTGAGTGTAGCAGGTGGTGAGTGATGGGTGTGGTGAGTGTAGCAGATGGGTGAGTGAGTGTAGGTGGTGAGGTAAAGCAGGGTGAGTGTAGCAGATGAGGTGAGTGCAGATGATGAGTGTAGCAGTGGGTGAGTGTGATGGGAGTGCAGGTGGTGGAGTGTGGTGAGGCAGATGATGAGGTGAGGTAGATGATGGTAGCAGGTGAGGTAGCAGATGATGAGTGTAGCAGGTGAGGTGAGTGTAGCAGGTGAGGTAGCAGATGATGAGTGTAGCAGGAGGTGGAGTGAAGATGATGAGTGTAGCAGGTGGTAGATGTGGTGAGTGTGGTGAGGAAGGATGATGGATGCAGATGAGTGTGTGTGAGTGTAGCAGATGATGAGTGTAGCAGGTGTGGTGGTGAGGTACAGATGATGGTGTAGCAGGTGAGTGTAGCAGATGATGATGGGAGTGTGGTGAGTGATGGTGGGTGAGTGTAAGATGATGAGTGAGCAGGTGGGAGTGTAGCATGATGAGTGTAGCAGGTGGTGAGGTGATGAGTGTAGCAGGTGGTGAGTGTAGCAGATGATGAGTGTAGCAGGAGTGTAGCAGGTGATGAGTGTAGAGGTGGTGAGTGTAGCAGATGATGAGTGTAGCAGGTGGTGAGTGTAGCAGGTGGTGAGTGTAGCAGGTGGTGAGGAAGCAGATGATGAGTGTGGTAGGTGGTGAGTGTGTGCACCAGATGATGAGTGGTGAGTGTGGTGAGTGCAGGAGTGAGTGTAGCAGGTGGTGAGTGCAGGTGGTGAGGTGAAGCAGGTGATGAGTAGCAGGTGGGTGTGTAGCAGGAGTGGTGGGTGTAATGATGAGTGGCAGGAGTGTGGTGAGTGTAGCAGGTGGTGAGCAACCAGATGATGATGTAGCAGGTGGTGAGTGTAGCAGGTGAGTGTAGCAGGTGAGTGTAGCAGGTGGTGAGGTAGCAGGTGAGTGCAGCAGGTGGTGAGTGTGGCAGGTGGTGAGTGTAACAGGTGGAGTGTGCAGCAGGGTGGTGGTGAGTGTAGCAGGAGTGTAGCAGGTGTAGCAGGTGAGTGTAGCAGATGAGTGGTGAGGTGATGAGTGTAGCAGAGGCCCAGATGATGAGTGTAGCAGAGTGTAGCAGGTGGTGGCAGGTGAGGTACCAGATGATGAGGTAGCAGGTGGTGAGTAGCAGGTGAGTGCAGGTAGTAGGTGGTGAGGTACCAGATGATGAGGTAGCAGAGTGTAGCAGGTGGTGAGTGTGGCAGGTGGTGAGTGTAGCAGGTGAGTGTAGCAGGTGAGGTAGCAGGTGAGTGCAGGTGGTGAGTGTAGCAGATGATGGGTGTAGCAGGTGAGTGTAGCAGGTGGTGAGTGCACTGATGATGAGTGTAGCAGGTAGTGTAGCAGGTGATGAGTGTGCAGGTGAGTGTGGTGAGCAGGATGGTGAGTGTAGCAATGAGTGGTGAGTGCAGAGGTAGCAGTGTATCAGGTGGGAGGTAGCAGATGATGAGGTGAGGTGGTGAGTGTAGCAGGTGAGTGTAGCAGGTGGTGAGTGTAGCAGGTGAGGAAGAGGTGAGTGTAGCAGGTGAGTGTAGCAGGTGGTGAGTGGCAGGTGGTGAGTGTAACAGGTGGGAGTGGCAGGTGGTGAGTGCAGGTGAGTAGCAGGTGTAGCAGCAGGTGGTGAGTACCAGAGATGAGTGGCAGAGTGGGAGTGGCAGGTGGTGAGTGTAGCAGGTGGTGAGTGTGGTGGTGAGTGTAGCAGGTGGTGAGTGTAGCAGGTGGAGAGTGTACCAGATGATGAGTGTAACAGGTGAGTGTAGCAGGTGAGTGTAGCAGGTGAGTGTAGCAGGTGGTGAGTGTAGCAGGTGGTGAGTGGCAGGTGTGAGTGTAGCAGGTGGTGAGGCAGGTGATGAGTGTAGCAGGTGGTGTGCAGCAGGTGAGTGCAGGAAGTGAGCAGAAAATACTTGAATTATGATAAACCAAATGGTAAGTCAAGTAGATGAATGAGCTTATGTGTATATTAATGGTGTGTGTGTGTGTGTGTGTGTGTGTGCACGAGCAGAGGTTGAGAAGCACTGTTGTTCAGTGGTGTGTTAAGTGATGAAAGATTTGTTATGGCCTAACCTACTACCTACCACTTAACCACTTAATGGCCACTCTAATTTAACCTATCTTGCCTCTGACTTTTGGCCTACCTCACTTAACCTACTTACTGTATATAACACTACAAGTCTCTGTCTCTTTTCACTTTCTTAATCAAACTTTTACTATTTTACGATGGGGATTTTACTTACATTTAAAAAAGTTTTAAGATTTATTGAGAATTGTTAAATTTGGATAGTGTTAGGTAAAAGGAAGACGAAGAAAGGTGAGAGATGTATGTTTCACTGTTGAAGAAAGATGAGAGTATGTGGCAACAGTGTTTCTGTATTTTGGAGGAAAGGTGAGAGAGTGGCAACAGTGTCTTTTAAGATGAGAGAGAGGCAACAGTGTTTTCTGGGCCTAAGAGAGGAAAGGTGAGAGTATGTGGCAACAGTGTCTTCCCCTGGGGACCTTAAGATGAAGAAAGATGAGAGTATGTGGCAACAGTGTCTTCCCCTGGGGGCCTTAAGATGAGGAAAGGTGAGAGTATGTGGCAACAGTGTCTTCCCTGGGGCCTTAAGATGAGGAGCATGGTATGTGGCAGTGTGTTCCTGGGGGCAGAAGATGGGGATGAATTAGAGTGGCAACAGTGTCTTCCCTGGGGCTTAAGATGAGGAAGGTGAAGTATGTGGCAACAGTGTCTTCCTGGGGGACTTAAGATGAAGGAAAGATGAGAGTATGTGGCAACAGTGTCTCTCCCTGGGGCCTTAAGATGAGGAGATGTGTGTGGCAGCAGTGTTCTTCCCTGGGGGTGCCAAGATGAGGAAGGATGAGAGTATGTGGCAACAGTGTCTTCCCTAGGGGACAAGATGAGATGAGTGAAATTGGCAACAGTGTCTTCCCTGGGGCCTTTAGATGAGGAAGGTGTGAGGTATGTGGCAACAGTGTCTTTCCTGGGGGCCTAAGATGGAAAGATGAGAGTATGTGGCAACAGTGTCTTCCTGGGGCAGCCAGGATGAGGAAGAGGTGAGGTATGTGGCAGTGTGTTTCCTGGGGGGCCAAGATGAAGGATGGGTATGTGGCAACAGTGTCTTCCTGGGACGTAAGATGAGAGAGGATGAGAGTATGTGAGCAGTGTCTTCCCCTGGGGCTTAAGATGAAGAGATGGAGTGTGTGGCAACAGTGTCTTTCCTGGGGGCCAAGATGAGGAGCATGAGGTATGTGGCAGTGTCTTCCCTGGGGGACCTTAAATGAAGATGAGTATGTGGCAACAGTGTTTCCCTGGGGCCTTAAGATGAGAAAGATGAGGTGTTGGCAACAGTGTCTTCCCTGGGGGCATCAAGATGAGGAAGCATGAGAATTGTGTGCGACAGTGTCTTCCCTGGGGACCTGAAGATGAAGAAGATGAAGTATGTGGCAACAGTGTCTTTCCTGGGGGCCTTAAGATGAAGAAGATGAGAGTATGTGGCAACAGTGTCTTCCCTGGGGGCCTTAAGATGAGGAAGCATGAGTATGTGGCAACGTGTCTTCCCTGGGGACCTGAAGATGAAGAAAGATGAGAGTATGTGGCAACGTGTCTTCTCCTGGGGGCTGTAAGATGAGGAAACATGGTATGTGTCAGTGTCTTCCCTGGGGACATAGATGAAACATGAGAGTATGGCATCAGTGTCTTCCTGGGGGCCTTTAGATGAAGAAAGATGAGAGTGTGTAGCAGTGTCTTCTTGGGGCCTTTAGATGGAAAGATGAGTATGTGGCAGCAGTGTGCTTTCCTGGGACCTTAAGATGAGGAAGCATGAAGTATGTGGCAACAGTGTCTTCCTGGGGGCCTTAAGATGAGAGCATGAGAATGTGTGGAGCATGTGTCTTTCCTGGGGGCCTTAGATGAGGAGCATGGTATGTGGCAACAGTGTCTTCCCTGGGGACTTAAGATGAGAAACATGAGGTATGTGGCAACAGTGTCTTTCCTGGGGAGACTTAAGATGAGGAAACATGAGTATGTGGCAACAGTGTCTTCCCTGGGGGCCTTAAGATGAAACATGAAGTATGTGGCAACAGTGTGTCTTCCCTGGGGGACTTTGTAAGATGAAGAAGATGAGGTATGTGAACAGTGTCTTCCCTTAAGATGAGGAGCATGAGGAGTATGTGGCAACAGTGTCTTCCCTGGGGACAAGATGAAGGAAAGATGGAGTATGTGGCAACAGTGTCTTCCTGGGGACCTTAAGATGAAGAAAGATGAGAGTAAGTGGCAACAGTGTCTTCCCTTGGGGGCCTGGGTATAGAGACAAGTGGAATCAAGTTGAACCTCAACACACACCGCAGTTCAGCAGGTAAGATCAGGTGCTCCTCTGTGTGTGTGTGTGTGTGTGTGTGTGTGTGTGTGTGTGTGTGTGTGTGTGTGTGTGTGTGTGTGTGTGTGTGTGTGTGTGTGTGTGTGTACAATTTGATTAGTTTAACCCACAAGTACACTGAAGTGTAACATTTTATTATGAAGAGATGTATCACCTGTGTACATATACTGTAAGCAGGAACTGTGTGAATAAGGGTCACCAAATAGTCTTTATAATAGGCTAACAAGTTTGTGATGCTGTGTGTGTGTGTGGGAGGGGGGCGGGGTAACGCTGACCTGGCCTGGCCCATGAGGAAGTGTTTGAGGCACCTGGCTGGTTGGCTGCTCTCTCTCACTTAACGGTGTGTTGTGTTTCCTGATGGTCGCTAGCTACACCTGAGCTAGAACTCTTTCTCTCTCTGTCTCCACATCCTACAATAAGTGTTCCACATCCTACAGTAAGTGTTCCACATCTTAACAATAAGTGTTCCACATCTTACAATAAGTGTTCCACATCCTAAAATAAGTGTTCCACATCTTACAATAAGTGTTCCACATCTTACAATAAGTGTTCCACATCTTACAATAAGTGTTCCACATCTTACAATAAGTGTTCCACATCTTACAATAAGTGTTCCACATCTTACAATAAGTGTTCCACATCTTACAATAAGTGTTCCACATCTTACGACAAGTGTTCCACATCCTAAAATAAGTGTTCCACATCTTACAATAAGTGTTCCACATCCTACAATAAGTGTTCCACATCTTACAATAGGTGTTCCACATCTTTCAACAAGTGTTCCACATCCTAAAATAAGTGTTCCACATCTTACAATAAGTGTTTCACATCTTACAATAAGTGTTCCACATCTTACAATAAGTGTTCCACATCTTACAATAAGTGTTCATACGTAGTGTTCCATCCTAAAATAAGTGTTCACATCTTACAATAAGTGTTCCACATCTTACAATAAGTGTTACATCTTACAATAAGTTCCACATCTTACAATAAGTGTTCCACATCCTAAAATAAGTGTTCCACATCTTACAATAAGTGTTCCACATCTTACAATAAGTGTTCCACATCTTACAATAAGTGTTCCACATCTTACAATAAGTGTTCCACATCCTACAAAAGTATAAAGTGATTGAGATATGACAACAAGATGGGAGGGATGTGTTGTGCTAACATATCACCGTGAAGAGAAATTCTAGTTTTTATTTCATTACAGATAAGTGAAGATGGCGGGAGGCAGCGTGAAGACATTGATGGTGATGATGGTGATGATGGTGGGTGGTGACCTAGCTTCTGCCGCCGTGTACAGGGTGACGCGCCAAGGTGAGTAGGTCATTACTGTTACCCGTTCTATTGGCCTAATATTATCATGTATGTACACTATATATTTATCTATATACTATACACATTATATAAATCATATATAATGGTGAATACACAATAAAAACATAGTTGTATTAAGTATATTGCTGTATTTGGGGGAGGAGGGAAGGGGGAGTTTCTCACATAATATAAAGGAAAATTTACCTCATATACGAAGGGTCACGGGTTCTATTACAGGCAGGAATGGATGTGATTCTTAAACGGGTATGTAAAACTTGCGATACCGGTGAGGCAGCCAGTGGTGGAACAACTTCTGAGGTGGACTGTTAGCTTGCCTTGGAGGGAGGGTGGGTGGATGTTATTACCAGTATAGAATATTAAGTCATGAGACCTTACGACCTGACCGGCCTCGTATCACACACACACACACACACACACACACACACACAAATCAGTTCTCGTCGGTAATCCAAGATACGGTTTCCTCCTGACAGCTGCAACAGGGAACAAATGTCCTACAGTCGGGATGCCCTGTGTGGCCCTGCCCTCCTGCCCGCCCTCCTCACCTCACTGCCAACCCTTCAACCAATGACCTGCAGATTCTTAGAGATGCCACGTGTGGTGGCACGCGAGTGAGTACTACTGTGTGTGTGTGTGTGTGTGTGTGTGTGTGTGTGTGTGTGTGTGTGTGTGTGTGTGTGTGTGTGTGTGTGTGTGTGCTAATCAGTATCCTGATAGGAATTTCAACACCCAAGGTCATATTCGTCTCTCAAGAACATTTATATTTGGGATGTTGCAGGTGTGTTGTGATACATCCACCATCCACCCATCAACATCCACCCCGTCAACATCCACCCTACTATCCACCGGTCAACATCCCCCATCAACATCCACCCATCAACATCACCATCAACATCCACCCTGTCAACAACACCCCGTCAACAACAACATCACCGTCAACAACCACCCGTCAACAACAACCACCCGTCAACAACAACCACCCCGTCAACAACCACCCCGTTAACAACCACCCCGTCAACAACCACGACCAGTACGTCACCGCCCACAGCAGCAGGAGGAGGAGGGGGAGAGAGCCTACTGCCGAAGGAGTGTGGGTCGTCGGCAGTTGATCCTGTTACTCGTGTTTACCATGGAGAAAATGCCACCCTGGGAGCCTACCCGTGGATGGCAGCGTTGGGCTATGACAGTGAGTAACTCTAACCTAGCCTAACCTAACCATTAGTAGCCTGAGCCGGTATGAAAGGTAAAATTAGGGTATAGTTGTGTTAGTTACGTTGGGACCTAATATGACAACAATAACAACAACACCATGTACAACAAATATACAGTAATAATAATAATAATAATAATAATAATAATAATAATAATAATAATAATAATAATAATAATATATATGTAATAATAATAATAATAATAATAATAACACTCGCTGTATAACGAATGTATAACAAGGAATGTAACAGTGTATAAACGAATGAATAACGATTAAAAGTATAATGTATTGGACCAAATATAATGACGATGGATGTTCTGCCAAAAGCTTACTTCTTCTCTGACGGCGTTCTGGAATGGACGTGTGGTGGAGCTCTGATAAACAACCATTACATCGTGACGGCGGCCCACTGCGTACATCCTGACTTCACCTACGCTAATAAACTGTAAGTATCGTCATTCTTTTTAGACTGTATGAAGGACTGACGGGTTTACCTTCCGTGGCTGTTTTACCGAGTTATTGTGATGATGATGATGATGATGATGATATGATGATGATGATGATGATGATGATGACACACTGCCAGTATATAAACAGAGATCAGTGAATTTTGTGGAGAAACTGCTAATTTGTCCATCCAGCTTATTTCATCTGAAGATTAACCACCCTAACGCTAACCTAACCTAACCTAACCTAACCTAACCTAACCTAACCTAACCTCACCTCACCTTACCTTACCAATCACATTTCAGGACGCTATCATTCTGCCAAATTCTAAAATAAATATGATAGGCCTCACCATTTCCTCTAATTTGTCATGGAAGCCACACATCCTCAACATTGCTAAGGCTGCCTCCCGAAAGCTGGGAATGCTGTACAGATGCCGTAGCTACTTCACTCCCGAGAAGTTGCTTCAAGTATATAGGGGATTCATTCATCCTAACTTGGAGTACTGCTCTCATATCCGGGGTGGCTCTTCTTCTGCTCTACTATTAGATAGGGTGGAATCAAAGGCATTTAGACATATTAACTCTCCTCCTTTAGTTGACAATCTTTCTTCCCTTTCTCTTCGCCGCAATGTTGCTTCAGTTCTCTCTCTTTTACAGGTACTTTAACGGGCAATGTTCGGTGGATTTGGCATCCTGTGTACCGCTGGCAAGGCCGTGGGCTCGTAACACACGTCTTGCCCGCGGTGCCCACCGTTTCTCTGTGGATGTCGGTCACACTAGAATAACCCGTTATAATACCTCCTTCTTTCCTCACACAGCCAAACTGTGGAATGCTCTGCCTTCTTCTGTGTTTCCATACTTATACAATCTGTCTCACTTTAAAAAGGTGGTTTTACGGCATCTTCGTGGTGCAGATTAATATAACCTTTTCCTTTTATATTTTTAATTTCGCCCGTAGGGTCTCAAGGTGTCATCGATACCCGTGCCCCGTGGCTATTCTCACGTAAAAAAAAAAAAAAAACCGCTACCCTTACTTAGCCTAACCTAACGGCAACCATACTTAACCTAACTTAACGCTAATCTTACTTAACCTAACCTAACGCTAACCTTACTTTACCTAACCTTTCGCTAACCTTTCTTAACCTAACATAATACTAATATTTCTTAACCTAACCTAACTTGACCTAACCACACTAACGGTAACCTTACCTATGCCATTTCTCCTAACCAAACCTAACCTAACATAACGTAACATAAGCTAAGCAATATTAACATGTATGGTGTCGTCAGTTACCGTGTGTGTCCAATGTAAATGTGTTGTGATTGCATGAGGGAAGGGAGGAGAGGGGTGTGTGTGTGTGTGTGTGTGTGTGTGTGTGTAATAATAATAATAATAATAATTAACGGTTTATTGAAAGAGCTTGGCAGCCAGAAGGCTGAAAATATACAGTTACATATTTGGGGAATGGGTTTCGAATTACAAATAATATACAAGTAACATAAGTGACACAAGTGTGTGTGTGTGTGTGTGTGTGTGTGGATCCATTAAGAACTGGGGCATAAAAGAACTGGTGGCGGTGATAGTGGTAAGGAGGTTAAATTTTCTAATATAAATAAGTAAATAAATAAATAAATGAATAAATACACACCATTTGCATTCCTTTATCTGTCCACCTCAGGGAAAAGATTAGACTCGGTGAACACAACTTGAACCAAAACCCAGATTGTGTGGATGTAGAGGGAAAGAAGGTGTGTTCAGCTCCAGTAGAGGAGTACACGTCCCAGGAGGTCACCATCCACCCTAACTTCACCAGGCGGGGAGTGTACGAGACTGTGAGTGATGACATTGCTCTCATCAGACTGGACAGAGAGGTGGTGTTCTCTGGTGAGTGTTGCTGTGACCTTCTCTGTTTGTGTGCTGCTGGTGGTAGTGAGGTGATTTGATCCTGCCTGGATTTCTCTCTCTGATACTCTTCCTGATACACTCCCTGATCCTCTCCCTGATACACTGCCTGATCCTCTCCCTGATCTTCTTACACTCATGTCTAAGCATTTTTCTATCACCTGCAAAAACTTTAAGAGAAATAATCAATCTAAGTTTACAAAGACAGTGATATAACCTAACCTAACCAAACCTAACCTAACCTATCTTCGTTTCCAGAGACTATACACCCTATCTGCTTGCCGGCGGTGGATGAAAAGCCGCCCCAACTCGCGACAGTAGCTGGTTGGGGTAGCACAGAAGACGGTCAAGACGAAAATATCCTCCAGCAAGCCTCCTTACCTCACGTCACGCTCGACCAATGCAACACTCTCTACAACAACACACTCTTGCCGGAACAGGTCAGTCAGTCAGTCAGCCAGTTAAACAGTCATGTAGTTAGTCTTTATTAGTCAAGTCAGTTAGTCAGAGAGTTAGTTAATCAAATTCAGTGTTTCAAGAGGATAGGAGAGAAGGAGAAGGGTTAAACCATTGTCCTTGAAGGGTTAAACCATCATTCTTAAAGGGTTAAACCATCGTCCTCAAAAGGGTTAACATAAAAAAACAAACCCATCCTAATCTAACCAAATCCAACCCAACAAAAATAAACCCAACCCAACCAAACAAACCCAACTCAACCCAAATCAACCCCATCAAACCTAACCTATGCAATGGTACTGCCTGGTAGGTGTGTTACGGAGGAGGTGGACGTAGGGATTCTTGTTACGGAGACTCTGGTTGTCCTGTCTTCTACCCTCGAGTGACTCAAGGCACCACTAACGTCCTGGTTAGTTTGTTGTTGTTTAATGGTGTGACTGAGTACTACTGTGTTTGTTGATGTTGTTTAATGGTGTGACTGAGTACTACTGTGGTTGTTGTTGTTTAATGGTGTGACTGAGTACTACTGTGGTTGTTGTTGTTGTTTAATGGTGTGACTGAGTACTACTGTGTTTGTTGTTGTTTAATGGTGTGACTGAGTACTACTGTGTTTGTTGTTGTTGTTTAATGGTGTGACTGAGTACTACTGTGTTTGTTGTTGTTGTTTAATGGTGTGACTGAGTACTACTGTGGTTGTTGTTGTTCAATGGTGTGACTGAGTACTACTGTGTTTGTTGTTGTTGTTTAATGGTGTGACTGAGTACTAATGTGTTTGTTGTTGTTGTTTAATGGTGTGACTGAGTACTACTGCGTTTGTTGGTGTTATAATGGTGTGACTGAGTACTACTGTGTTTGTTGTTGTTCAATGGTGTGGACTGAGCAATTACTGTGTTTGTTGTTGTTGTTTAATGGTGTGACTGTGTACTACTGTGGTTGTTGGTGTTGTTTAATGGTGTGACTGAGTACCACTGTGGTTGTTGTTGTTTAATGGTGTGAGGAGTACTACTGTGTTTGTTGTTGTTGTTTAATGGTGTGACTGAGTACTACTGTGGTTGTTGTTGTTTAATGGTGTGAGTGAGTACTACTGTGTTTGTTGTTGTTGTTTAATGGTGTGACTGAGTACTACTGTGTTTGTTGTTGTTGTTCAATGGTGTGACTGAGTACTACTGTGTTTGTTGTTGTTGTTTAATGGTGTGACTGAGTACTACTGTGTTTGTTGTTGTTGTTTAATGGTGTGACTGAGTACTACTGTGTTTGTTGGTGTTGTTTAATGGTGTGACTGAGTACTACTGTGGTTGTTGTTGTTGTTTAATGGTGTGACTGAGTACTACTGTGTTTGTTGGTGTTGTTTAATGGTGTGACTGAGTACTACTGTGTGGTTGTTGGTGTTCACGGTGACTGAGTACTACTGTGGTTGTTGGTGTTGTTTAATGGTGTGACCGAGTACTCACTGTGGTTGTTGGTGTTAGTTTAATGGTGACTGAGTGGTTGTTGTTGTTTAATGGTGTGAGTGAGTACTACTGTGTTTGTTGTTGTTGTTTAATGGTGTGACTGAGTACTACTGTGTTTGTTGTTGTTGTTCAATGGTGTGACTGAGTACTACTGTGTTTGTTGTTGTTGTTTAATGGTGTGACTGAGTACTACTGTGTTTGTTGTTGTTGTTTAATGGTGTGACTGAGTACTACTGTGTTTGTTGGTGTTGTTTAATGGTGTGACTGAGTACTACTGTGGTTGTTGTTGTTGTTTAATGGTGTGACTGAGTACTACTGTGTTTGTTGGTGTTGTTTAATGGTGTGACTGAGTACTACTGTAGTTGTTGGTGTTTGGTGGTGTGACTGGGCCACTACTGTAGTTGTTGTTGTTTAATGGTGTGACTGAGTACTACTGTGGTTGTTGTTGTTTAGTGGTGTGACTGAGTACTACTGTGGTTGTTGTTGTTTAGTGGTGTGACTGAGTACTACTGTGGTTGTTGTTGTTTAGTGGTGTGACTGAGTACTACTGTGGTTGTTGTTGTTTAATGGTGTGACTGAGTACTATTGTGTTTGTTGTTGTTGTTTAATGGTGTGACTGAGTACTATTGTGTTTGTTGTTGTTGTTTAATGGTGTGACTGAGTACTACTGTGTTTGTCTGTGTTGGTCTGTATGTTTATGTATATCTATGTGTAATGACCGAGTAAATATGTATTATCAAGTGTATTTGTGAGTAGGTATATTTAAACTGATCATATGAATATTCACTCACGCACGCACTCTTTCTCACGCACTCACTTATTTTCCTCACACACACACACACACACACTCCTTCTCACACACACACACTCCTTCTCACACACACACTCTCCTCTCATGCAGTCTACTCGCACGCACTCTCCTCGCGCACTCTCTTCGCACGTGCTCACTCAAGTACTCGTCACACGCAATCTCCTGCAATCTCCTCACACATACTCACTCACACGCACTCATTCACGCACTCTCCTCTTCACACGTACTCGTTCACGCACTCTCCTCTTCACACGTACTCATTCACGCACTCTCCTTCACTCACGCACTCTCCTCGCACATACTAATGCACTCTCCTCATCAAACGCACTCACTCACGCACTCTCCCGCAGACTGGCATCGTGTCCTTCGGAAAATCACTGTGTGGCATTGAGGGAGTGCCAGCTGTGTACACCAGAGTGGCCGCCTATAGGCAGTGGATCATCAGCAAGTTGGCACCGTAGCTTGGCACTAAAGCCTGTGACTGTAGCCTGTCACTGTAGCTTGTCACTGCAGCCTGGTACTGAAGCCTGTCACTGCAGCCTGGTACTGAAGCCTGTCACTGCAGCCTGGTACTGAAGCCTGTCACTGTAGTCAGGCACTGAAGCGTGGCACCATTATCTTTCCTATGTTATATAACTTAACAACAGTAATACAGTGACAACAATAGCAAAACGGTGACAACAGTAAACAGTGACAACAGTAATACAGTGACAACAGTAATACAGTGACAACAGTAAACAGTGACAACAGTAAAACAGTGACAACAGTAAACAGTGATAACAGTAAACAGTGACAAAAATAACAAAACAGTGACAACAGTAAACAGTGACAACAGTAAAACAGTGACAACAGTAATGCAGTGACAACAGTAATACAGTGACAACAGTAACAAACAGTGACAACAGTAATACAGTGATAACAGTAAACAGTGACAAGTGTATAGCCACAATAAAAATTTAACAAATTTAATATTTATTTTATTTCTTAAAAATTAAAGATCATTAATGTTGGTTAGGTTAGGTTAGGTTAGGTTAGGTTAGGTTAGCAAGGTTAGGTTAGGTTAGGTTAGGTTAGCAGGTTGGGATTGGGGTTGGAGTTGGGTTAGGTTGGCAGGTTGGGTTAGGTTGGGTTAGCAGGTTAGGTTAGGTTAGCAAGGTTGGGTTAGGTTAGGTTAGGTTAGCAAGGTTAGGTCAGGTTAGGTTGGGTTAGCAAGGTTGGGTTGGGTTAGCAAGGGTTGGTTTAGGTTAGGTTAGCAAGGTTAGGTTAGGTTAGGTTAGCAAGGTTAGGTCAGGTTATGTTGGGTTAGCAAGGTTTGGGTTGGGATTGCTTGGGGTTGGGGTTTGGGATTGGAGGGTTGAGGGGTTGGAGTTAGCAAGGTTAGGTTGAGGGGGGTTAGGTTAGCAAGGTTAGGTTAGGTTAGGTTAGGTTGAGGGGGGAGGGGGGGTTAATCTCCTGCAGCCTCCTGTGTTACAACGTGGACAGTGGCGTCGACTTACCCCATAAAATCATGAAAAGTGGAGCCATAAACCCCATGGCCAGTTTGGGACACAGGACACTATAGTATTAGGACACAGGACACTACAGTATTAGGACACAGGACACTACAGTATTAGGACACAGGACACTACAGTATTAGGACACAGGACACTACAGTTGGGACTGGACACTGCAGTGTGGGACACCCAGGACACTGCAGTATTGGGACACGGGACTGCTACAGTATTGGGACTGGGACACTGTAATTATTGGGACTGGGACACTGTAGTGTTGGGACCGCAGGACACTATGGTGTTGGGACACAGGACACTACTGGTGTTAGGACACAGGTTTTCTGGTGGTGGGACACAGGGACACTACAGTGGTGGGACTGGGACACTATGGTGATGGGACACAGGACACTGCAGTGTGGGACACAGGGACACCTGATGGGACTGGGGACACTACAGTCAGTGGACACAGGACACTGTAGTGTTGGGACGCAGGACACTGCAGTGTTGGGACTGGGACACTGCAGTGTGGGACACAGGACACTACAGTATTGGGACTGGGACACTTGCTACAGTGATGGGACCTGGACACTTCTGGTAGTGGGACACAGGACACTACAGTATTAGGACACAGGAACACTATGAGTGTTGGACACAGGACGCACTACAGTGATGGGACACAGGACACTGCAGTGTGGGACACGGGACACTACGGTATTGGGACCTGGGACACTTTCAGTGATGGGACACAGGACACTACAGGCAGTGGGACACAGGACACTACAGTGTGGGACACAGGACACTACAGTGATGGGACACAGGACACTTTCTGATGATGGGACATACTGTTGGTTGGGTGGTAACAGTCGTCCCGGACCAAATGAACTACTGTGGTAACGTTTAAGGGCAACAAAGTGAACATTATAACCATAAGCAATATTCGATCTTATATTGCGGGAGCCTAGAAGCCTAACTAGAGCCTAAACCTAACCTAAACCTAACCTAACCTAAACCTAAACCTAACCTAACCTAACCTAAACCTAACCTAACCTAAACCTAGCCTAACCTAAACCTAAACCTAACCTAAGCCTAAACCTAACCTAACCACACGACCACAGCATCCCTTTAATACAACAGTAAATATAACACCATTTTGTTATTATCATCATGTTTATTTTAGTAACATTAGATGTATGTCTGTGTGTGTGTGTGTGTGTGTGTGTGTGTGTGTGTGTGTGTGTGTGTGTGTGTGTGTGTGTGTGTGTTAAGTGTAAACAATGGTAACTGTTGCAGGGACAGTTCCTTCGGCTTACTATACTAGACTCTTGTGGTGTATCGAAAAACCATTCTGAACAATTTTAACCCACATTAACGAAATTTAGCACCGTTAGCCTCCTAATTACCAGAGACCACACGTACAGGTAGGGACAGGAGACCACGTAGGTAAGACCAGGAGATCTCACGTACAGGTAAGGGACCCAGAGACCACGTACAGGTAGGGACCCAGGAGACCACATGCAGGTAAGGACCAGATCACGTACACATGGGATCAGGGAGACAACGTACAGGAAAGGGACAGAGCCATTGCAGGTAGGGACCCAGGGACCACATACAGGTACGGACCAGATCACGTACTGAGTGGGGACCAGGGAGACAACGTGCAGGTAGGGACCAGGAGACCACGGTGAGTGAGGGACCCAGGAGACCACGTACAGGTAGGGACCAGGAGACCACGTACTGGGTAGGGACCAAGAGGTCTAGGACAACTGGCCGCCGCCATCTGGCCGCAGCCCAACTGGCCGCGGGAAACTCGCCGCGGCCGACTGGCCGCCATATGGAACTTTTTGTTGACAAAATTGATGAAAGTGTGATAAAAAAAAGAGGATTAAAATTTCTTTATGAAGTACTTTATTGGAATAAAATAATAAAAGATACATATGCAAAAATCTATGAAAAGTTATGTTGTTAGTAAAATTATTGTTGGTAAAAAATAAGCAGAATGATTATATATATATATGCAGGAATAACCACCAGGAAAAGGAAAATACGAAGTGTCAAGCGCTTTCGTATATTACATCTTCAGGACTGAATACAGAATACAAGAATCAGTTCTATTATCTAAGTTTCTCTTATTTTATTTTTTAGTACATAGTTTTACTGTTTTTTTGTATGTTGAATTCAGAATTGACTTGTTTTTAATCATTCGCGAATCAGTCGTTCGCTGGTGGGGGTTTAAGGAGCTGCCTTGAGAGCGCAAAATTAGGCGTTTGCAGTTTACCCCCAGTCCGCGGCGGCCAGTCGGCCGCGGCGAGTTTCCCGCGGCCAGTTGGGCTGCGGCCAGATGGCGGCGGCCAGTTGTCCCATTCCCACCAAGAGAGGTAGGGAGGTAGTACTTTATAGAGTACCTGAGAACAACAATTAAAGACAAGGGAACACCTGAAGAATTTCCACCCCAGCTTATTTCACCTGAAGATTAGGTTAGGTTAGGCTGGACTGGGTTAGGTTAGGTTAGGTTAGGCTGGACTGGGTTATGTATGTATATATGAATGTATTTTTTATGTATGTACTGCGTTAACAAAGGCTAATATATATCAAAAGGGTTCCTAGTTAAGACCAGTGTTTTAGTGTCCTCAAGAAGGGGATAAAGATGTGTTGGAGACGATGACGCCCCCAAACCACACCATCCTTCACCGATTTCCAATACCTGTATACTGAAAACTTGGCCCGCTTCCCCACCCTGTAGACTGTATACCTGTACACTGAGAACTTGGCCCTCCGCCCACCCTGTAGACTGTATACCTGTATACTGAGGACATGGCCAGCACACCCTGTAGACTATACCTGTACACTGAGGACATGGCCCTCCGCCCCACACCCTGTAGACTGTACTTTCTGTATATACTAAGGACATGGCCAGCCTTCCCATCCTGTGTAGACTGTAGGTTCCTCTGACCCAAAATCCGTCTTCACTTTACTCACCTTTATTTTTTTTTTATATGGAAACCATTAATGATTACCTGAAGATTAGCCACCACTCCCAACCTTATCTCACCTTAAGGTTATGTTATGTAATGTTATGTAGGGTTTTACAAGTCCTATACCCATCCTGTAACTTACTATACCTGCGAGGAGGAGGAGGGGGAAGGGAGGAGGAAGAGGAGGAGGATGGAGAGGAGGAGAGGAAGGAGGAAGGGAAGGAGGAGGAGGTCAACCTCTCCCCTGTGTGGTAAGAGAGTATTGATTTCGGGAGTTGAAGGGTTCGGATTCGAATTCGGGTTCGACTCCCAGACAACTCTTCGTTTAGGAGTAAGGGGTCGGTCGGTCTCTCTCTCTCTCTCTCTCTCTCTCTCTCTCTGTGGTGGCTGCTGGACTGTCAGTATCTACTGTACAGTATATCTATATAAATCTTTCAACGGACACTCACATGGAAAAAAACGGACATTCACACGGACAATATAAACCCTCGGACACTCACACGGATAAAATATACCCCAGGACACTGTCCTGGCCAATGTTGGCCCACTCCCCTCAACCGCTCCTCCCCACCAGAATGTCACCAAAATCACTCCAAAAGTGACAATTTCGTTTCGGAAAGAAGTGAGATCGGTGATGAACAGTGATGAACAGTGTCTAAGCCAGCGAAGTCAGCACTAAACAGTGGCAGTGAGAGCCGTAGTGAGGTCCACACCGAGAGATAAGCTCCCCTGGTAACCGACCACCATCTTCTAACCAGGCGGAACAACCGTAGGACGGCTCTACACCTGACCACGAGATAAAACAACACCACTTAGCGGAGAGTGAGGTACTATGACACCACACACCACACAGGAGGTCCTTCATGTCAACATCTATGGATGAGTTACTGCACCACGAGTCCTAGGTGACCTCACACAGTATGGCAAGAGACCAGCCCGGGTTCATGTTCCTTCTCCTTTCAGTAATGATTGTTTTGTTAAACGACCCACCCACCCCATGTCTTTGTATGTAATAAGTCATTTTTGCCAAATGTATATTTTCAGCCTTCGGGCTGCTGAACTTTTTCAATAAACCATTAATTATTATTATTATCATCATTATTATTATTATCATTATTATTAAGATTTTCATAAACAAATCTACACGAGTTAAATTAAGTTAATGTTGGGTTATATGATTATCATCATTCTTCTGCCATCATTCACACTTTAAGAAAATTTTAACATTATGAGATTTGAGTCATGGCGGATATAACAACATCTACAACAACAAAAACAACAGCTACAACAA